ATTGTTTGTCTATCTCAGGTAGTTGCAATGCTAAATAATTGCCTCTTGTTTTCAGCAAATGACCCTGAGAAAAGGCTGTTCACACTATGTGAACTCTGAGTATATTAAATAAAGACAGCTTTGTAAATGGGGTCTTCCAGAAAATTATCAGATAATTCAAATAATAACAATTCTGTGAGGCTTTGAAGGGGCTCAGACAACTTTCTGCTCTTTTCAGTAGCTGCCAATTTTTGATGTGGTGATTAAGGTCCGAAATTCTCCCTGGAGCCTCCTAGGTTGTTTATTTTTTAATTGATGATTTGCAACTGAACTCATGGGTTTGAAAAACTTGGCTTGATTATTTAAAGAACTACTAATTTCACCTTTTGATACTGCCTTTGCGAAAATTATAACAGTGGGAAAATTATGACAGTGAAAGAGATCTGACCCGACCAACTGCATCTTCCTTCTAACATCCAATCTGTCCTTGCTCATTTCTAGGCATAGGCCAAACTAGCTTTGAGAGAAACTTAAGTTTAAGGTTAACTTTGAAACAAAGATAATCATAACCCTTTCACGAAACCAAACTTCTTCTTGCCTAGGGAACACACTGTCTTTGTAAGACTAATACATTAGCCATAATACAGGAAATTATGATTTAGGAAGTCATGCAGCTAGAGGCCATAAGATCCCAAACCTCCCCAGTCGCTCCTAGGCATAACATCACTATTGTAAAACCTAAAATTGGTGCTTGAGATATTTTTCAGACCCTGAGTTCTGATGCACCAGCTGATGCCATCCAGACTGGAAATTTGGCCCAACCAGTTTTGTGATCCCACCCAGGAAAAGAAGGCAGCAAGAAGAAGCTAATTTAAGCCCCTATGATTTCATCTTTGATCTGACCAATCAGTACTCCCTACTCCCTGGTCCCTACCCACCAAATTATCCTTAAAAACTCTGATCTCCAAATGTTAATGGCAACTGATTTGAGTAATAAAACTCTGGTTTTCCATTTAGCTGGCTCTCTGTGAATTAAACTCTTTCTCTGCAGCAATTCTCCTGTCTTGATACATTAGCTTTATCTGCGCAGTGGGCAAGAAAAATCCACTGGGCCATTACACTTTAAGGTCTTTCTAGAAAAAATTCCTCTCACAGAAAATGGTAGCTCAAGCTGATGACACAGCATGACCATTTGTGCAAATAAGGGCTCTTTGCACATTGGATGTCTCCCTGACTTCCTATGCTTGCCTGTACTCTCTTTCTCTTGCTATATCATATCCTTTGCCTTTAAATAAATGCCTATATGAATATACTTGGTGGAGTCTGGTGAATCATTTCAAATAACCAAACTGGAAAAATCTTTGCAATGCTATATCTATACAATATAATACTATGCAGCTGCAGAAAAGTATGTGGAATGTATCTGTGGACTGATATAAGAAGATATACAGGATATGTTGTAAAATGAAAATGTAGGTGAGGAAATGCGATATAGTATACTGTTTTTCTTGTAAGACAGGAGAGAAAGACAAGGTCATATAATTATATTTGCCTGATTTGCATGAGGAAACACAGGAAGATTACACACACACAAAAAAAAACTATTAAAATGATTAACTATTGAAGTGGGGGAAGCAAGATATCTTAACAATAAATTTTCATATTGAAGATACTTGCACATGTATGTTTATAGCAGCAAAATTCACAAGTGAAAAATCATGGAACCAACTCAAATGCCCATCAATCAACAAGGGATAAAGAAGCTGTGGTGTATATATATGATGGAATACTACTCAGTCATAAAAAGGAATGAACTAACAGCATTGGCAATGATCTGAATGAGATTGGAGACTATTATTCAAAGTGAAGTAACTCAAGAATGGAACACCAAACATTGTATATTCTCATTGATATGTGGGAGCTAAGCTCTGAGGATATAAAGGCATAAGAATGATACAATCGTCTCTGGGAGCTTGTGGGGAAGAGTGGAAGGGAGTAAGGGATAACAGACAACAAATATGGTGCAGTGTATACTACTTGGGTGGTGGGTACACCAGGATCTCACAAATCACCACTAAAGAACCTACTCATGTAACCAAATGTCATCTATACTCCCATAACTTATGGAAAAATATAATAATTGAAAAGTTAAAAATTCATATTGTTTTGATTTTTGAAACTCATATTACATACTCAAAAAATTAAAAGTTCAAATTAAACAGAAAAGAAAAATTAAGTCGTGTTGTCTAACAGGTATAATAAAATATACATGGTTTCAAATAAGTACTAATAAATAAAGATGGAAAAATAATAGACATGTCAAAGCATAAACATAAACAACAAAAGTAAATAGCAGCACAAGATAGGAAGCTGAAGTTTTACCTGGGTAACATGGAAAAGGCTTGGATTATATTATTATTATATATATTATATTATTTTAGTTCAGGCCTTCTGAACAGCAGCACTAATGACATTTTGGGCAGGATACTTCTTTGTTGTGGTGGGCTGTCCAGCGCATTGTCAGAGAACAGCCCGCCTCCACCCACTAAATACCAGCAGCACTTCCTCCCCTGCATTGTGACAACCAAAAATATCTTCAAACATTGTCAAATGAGGTGCCGGTGGTGGCAGGAGCACAAAAATTGTGCCCAGTCAAGAATCATTGCTCTAAGTAAGTAGATTTTCTGAGCAGCTCTAGAAAATGTTTTCCTAGCAACTGGTCTATGTTCCAGAACCACTTTTTCATTGAGATGTCAAATATTTCATGTAATACTTTTCCAGTTCTTTATTGTTACTGTAATCTTGATGCTGCCAGTGTGTTGTTTGTTTTGTAACTTCTTTGGAGTGACATTAACAATTTACTAGTAATATTTTCCCTTTAATAAGATACTTAAGTTGCTGAATCATTTGGTGTGACTTTATTACTTTGAAACTTTTTGTGTGGAGACCAATCTCTATTTCTTTAATGATATTTGAAAAATGGAATTTAATACTAGTGTCCATATAGGTACTTAATTGAGAGGAGGAATATCTTTAATATGTTTGAAATAATCCTGTTACTGACTTCCTTTCTTTTTTACCTTTCCTTGAGGGTCTGGAATTCTTCAAATCCTTCAAGAAATTGTCCCGGGGTTGTTAAGTCCAGTAATTAGTTAATTAGCACCACAGCTGTCACAATCCCAATCTGAACATGACCTAAACTGAGATGCCACTGCTAGCACAGTAGCTCACCATTCTGGCAGCAGAGCTTGTAGTAGGTATGCAGAAATAGAAGGCGCTTCTCTCTCTGCTCTACTTATGATCTTCTGAGAGTGATGCATGTGGTCATAATTATTGTTAAATATAATCCTTCCGTTTCTGAAGAAAGAAAATCCAGAAAATTAAGTCATATGGTCTTAATGTGGACTGGTCCACAGATTACAGCACAACTATCTATTGAGCTTGATGTTAAATCTCCTTCCACTTCCCTGTCTTATTCCAGAGAGTGATAGTGGTGGTGTCAATGTGATTCATTTCAGTTCAAGGAACAAGAAAGCACGTATTTCCCAGGAGAATCACCGTGGTCTACCCCCTCTCTGAACCCACGTGGAAGGGTTTCCTCATTGGAAGTGAGATACAGTCAAAGCAGTAGTAAAGCGCACCGTTTTATACCTGCTTTGGAAAAATCATTATATTTTCGCTGTAAAGCACACACACACACACACACACACACACACACACACACAGAGAGAGAGAGAGAGAGAGAGAGAGAGAGAGAGAGAGAGAGAGAGGAATCTCAAGATGGGGTACTCTAAAATCTTCAGCCTGCAGTGGGATCTAACTACCTTCCCTTCCGTCCCAGTGCCTCCGAATGCTTGCAATCTCATTCGCAATTCACCAGCGTGTGTGAGTGCAGACTCCAGACCCAGCACAGAGGCCAAGAATTTGACCAAGGGCACCAGCTAAATAGCAAACAGATGTGTTGTCAAACATGTGAAAACCTCAGAGACTGGGGTACCTCCGGGAAAACCAGTTCCAGCCCAGGAATTTCTGAGTAGAAAAACTGGCCGCTGGGTTGTTTAATTCTCTTTGCTTGACCGGAGCTGGTTTTGAAAGCAAGTGTCCCTTCTCCCCCAGCTTCAGGAAGGGAAACCCCAGTTCCCGGCGGTTGCAAAGCTAAGAAAAACCATCCCGCCCGGCCCCTTCCTGTGGTAACGCTGTCCTAACCCAACTCTGCCCCACAACCCCGATTCACCCGGGAGACACAGACGCCAGGCTCCTTAGCACTTCGTCGCCTCTTCCTCCAGCCTGGCTTCCTAAGCTCCGTAAAGACCCCGGACTCCAGACCTTGTTTCCAACTTCGCATCCGCTGCCTGGGCCACATGCCTCCCTGGCTTATTTAGGAAGCGAAATTAAGGCCACACATTTGGCTCCAGAAATTTGTTCTGACGGCGCGGCCGACCCCCTGCAGGGTCGTTTCCGAACCACCAAATATCCTGGTTCTCAAGCCCTTACCACCCCCTAGCACACGAAGTGTTAAATTCCCAAATATCCTGGTTCTCAAGCCCTTTCCACCCCCTAGAGCACACGAAGTGCTAAATTCCCAAATATCATGGTTCTCAAGCCCTTGCCACCCCCTACAGCACACGAAGCGCTAAATTCCCAAATATCCTGGTTCTCAAGCCCTTGCCACCCCCTAGCACACGAATCCCTGGCTGGCGGTGGAGCAGGTGTGTTGCTGGTAGCTCATCGCTGGCGTCAAGATAGACGTGCTCCGTACGTGTTCGCTTTCAGGTAACATCTGAAACCGTGCCGAGGCACATCCTTCATCCAAATATCCACGTTTAAGGTGTCCAGATTTGAGTTTGGTCTGACCTACCCGCTCCCCGCGCCGACCCTGGAGGCATCTTCCATGGGCTCTTTCTCTTCGAACCCCAAGGGGTACGCGCCTGGGTGTGCCAGGTCCGCCTCTTCACTGGCGCTGGCCAGGGGCGGGGTGGGTAGGCTGGGACCTGTGTCTGATTATCTGGGAGGGGGAAGCCACCGTCCCAACCGCTGTCTGCTGCGCTCCAGTCCTTCCAGGCTCTTCCAGGAGGAAGAAGCACTATACAAGAGAGGAGGGTAGGGGTCCCAGTACTGAATACCCTTGCCGGGGTTTTGACAGCTGCCGCCGTCTCTGAACTCCCAACTCGCGCCGAACCAGGTCCCTGTCATGGGACCCCCTTCCAGCTCAGGTTTCTATGTGAGCCGAGCGGTGGCCCTGCTGCTGGCGGGGCTGGTAGCCGCCCTCCTGCTGGCTCTGGCCATACTCGCCGCCTTTTACGGCCGCTGCGCGCGCGTCCCACCGTCGGTGCTGCCCGGACTCGGGGACTCGGAAGCCGAGTGTTCTCCCCCTCGCAGGCAGAAACCGACGCCGACCCCGACGCCCGGCAGTGCAGACGAGCTAGCGGTGACCACCACCCCTAGAGATGAGCGACCCCCGGGGCCCTGGGACCACCTACGCCTGCCGCCCTGGCTCTTGCCGCTGCACTACGACCTGGAGCTGTGGCCACTGCTGAGGCCCGACAAGCTTCCAGCGAGGTCTTTGCTCTTCTATGGCCGCGTGAACATCACGGTGCGCTGTACCATGGCCACTGTTCGACTGCTGTTGCATAGCGTCTTCCAGGACTGCGAGGGCGCCGAGGTGCGGGGCCCCCTGTCCCCGGGCACTGGGAACACCACCGTGGGCCGCATACCAGTGGACAAGGTGTGGTTCGCGCTGGACACGGAATACATGGTGCTGGAGCTCGGTGAGCCCCTGCAACCTGGTAGCAGCTACGAGCTGCAGCTCAGCTTCTCGGGCGTGGTGTTTGAAGACCTCAAGGAGGGACTCTTCTTCAGCGTCTACACCGACGACGGAGAGCGCAGGTAAGGGCTGGACAGCCCGGGGCCCCTCTCGGCTCTCCCCTCCCTTCCGCCCCCTCTGTCCAGGTGCAGCCTGCAGATCCAGCTGCCGACCTTACCCAGGTGCGCGTCTGCTGCCCTTTCCAAAGAATCCCCAGCCCATCCCTTGCAACGTTTTCTTCCAAAGCCAGAGTGCCAGCGCCTCCTTCCTCCCTTTTCCTAAGACTTTGGTCAGAATAAAGTGACCGTGGAGACCTCAGCCCTTCCTCTGGCTAGTTTCCAACCCTATTCCTGCTCATCCAGTTTGCTTCTGTTGTTGCCCCTTCTGAGGCCGCTGGTACCCCCAGCTTGTCGTTTTCTTCAGAAAGCATCTTTCCTCTCTGGCCCTAAATTTCTTCACCCCATTCAACAAACCCCTTGGCCCTCAAAGGTTGGTCCTTGGACCAGCGGCAGCTGTAACCTGGGAGCTTGTTAGAAATGCAGAATCTCAGACTCCACGCCCCACCAAGGCAATCGGAATTTCCGTTTTAAGTAGATCTTCTGGTGACTGAGGCGCGCTAAAGTTGGAGATGCGTCTGGCTAAAGTACCCTACCGGGTTCTGAGTTTCTTCCCTCCCCAAGCCCATCTCCCTGCTTTGTCTCTTTCTCCAGGCACTCTGTAACTGCTGCTCTTACAACAAATACACGCACGTTGGGGCTGTTTGTTCCAGTATCTTTTGATTTTTGCTAAGGTTCTCCAAAATTCAGGAATCGCCTTTAAGTGGTACCCTGCCACGGCAGCTTGGGGTCCGCATCATCTTTTGCTGGCGAGCAGCTGCATCCCTACCCGCTCCTGGCTTAGTCGAGCTCTGCAGAATGTCAAAGCCCGGCACTTTTGGGGCTTCTCTGCCATTGAGTGAAGGGGGTGTGGGGGGGGGACAATAAAGGGATAACAGGAGAATAGGAGACCTACCCTGCGAGTTTGCAAGCCCATGTAATGTACATGTGCTCTTTTTACACTCATTTGAGATAGTATCTCCCACACGGAATGTCTCCTGCCGCTGCGCAAGAATTGTCTCTTTCCAGGCTTGGAAACCACGATACTGTACTCCAGCGAACACCAGGGAAATGGCTTAAGTGGGAGATATCAAAATTTAATTTTTTCCAACCGGCGATCTCTTTCTCCACTCACACACTGGCGGAGCATTTGCGACTACACAACTGCATGTACTTTGTCCTTTATTATTAGAGAAAATGTTCTCAGTTGTTCTCTGAGGGGAAGAATCCCACCACATTACCCCCCTAAACCATCTCCTGCACCGCCTTAAAAATTTCAAAGGTTTAAAAATAAGTTGAAAGAGCTACCCTAGTGGATGTGTAATCTGTAACTTTTGTTTTTAAGGGCAATGTGCGTGGTTTTTCTCTTTAAAAAATACATCAATGCTTGAAAAAATAGTTTTGAAATTTTCTTATTCAGATGTGTTACTCAACTTATGTGAAAAAGGAATCTTTTGAAATTACTGTGTACATCAAGGTGCAAAATATTTCAGAAGAAAAAATGGAAACATTTTGCCTACATATCTGACTTTTTTTTCTTTTTTTTCTTTTTTTTTGCTGTAGATCCGTAAATCTTCCTCTGTTCACCTATCTCTTCCTTGGTCCTGTCTCAGCAGGGCTGTAGCCCAGACAAGCTTGCAAAGATAGGAAAGGAAAGTCCCTTTCCATTTTTCTATTGTGATGCTAACTCTAGTGTTAACTAGAAACTATATTTTCAGAATATTAAAATTCAAGCTAGAAGAAATCTTAGATGTTCATAAACCAAGGTAGAGCTCCAAAATTGTGATGTTTTGGAAGAGTTGCCAAAAGGCCCTCTGGGTCTCTGCTTCTGAAACCACAAGGAAAAGACACCTAAGGTTAAGCTTGAAGTAACGGTCATGGAGAAACTGCATCAGAAGGATGGCTTGTGGTACAGCAGATTCTGGGAGCCCAGCAGGTCTGAGTTTGAACCTGAGCTGCGTGAATTGAGCTAGTCTCTTAACCTCTCTGAATCTGTTTCCTGATTCACAGAGTAGATATAATAACTGTCAACTATTAAAGTACTGTGATAATTAAATGGAAAAGTGGAGTACACAGTGATACATACAGCCTGGGTAGTGGAAACTGTTATCCTTAGTTCAGATTATCATTATGATCAGCTTCCTTGTTATCTAAACACAGAACCTGCCAAGTTCCTAGTATATATGAGTCTAAGAAGATTCCCAGAGGAGAAGAAGGAAAAAGCTGAGGGAGTGGGGAGTTATTGCTTAATGGGTATAGATTTTAGTTTTGAAAGATCATAAGAGTTCTGGAGATACGTTGACAACCTATCTCCAGAACTTATTCACAATGTGAATGTACTTAACGCTACTGAAATATACACTTTAAAATGTTAAAGTGGTAAACTTTATGTTATGTGTAATTTACTAGAATTCAAAAATTTTTAAGAGCAAAAATACATTATAGATCAGTGAGTTTAGAATGGGATTTGGAGATTTGTATGTTTTGACAACTGTCTCAGATAATTCTGATAGCTTCAATTAGCACCTGATCATTTTGTGTCCTGCACCCAAATCTCATTTGGAATTGTAGTTCCTATAACCCAGTGGGAGGTAATTGGAACATGGGGGCAGTTTCCCCCATCCTATTCTCCTGATAGTGAGTAAGTCTCATGAGATCTGATGGTTTTATGAGCATCTGGCATTTCCCCTGCTTTCACTCACTCCATCTTGCTGGCCTGTGAAGGAAGTGCCTTTCTTCCCCTTCACCTTCTGCCATGACTGTAAGTTTCTTGAGGCCTTCCCAGCCATGCAGAACTGAGTCAATTAAATCTCTTTTGTTATCAATTACCCAGTCTTGAATATTTCTTCATAGCAGCATGAGTACAAACTTATACAGTACCTAATACTTTTTTCTTATTTTTAATTTTGAAATAATTACAGATTCACCAGAAGTTGCAAAGATAATGTAGAGAGATCCCGGGTACCCTTCATCTAGTTATTGTACATAATTATAGTACAATTGGTACTATGTATATACATATGTTTTTATGTCATTCATCATATGCGTATATTTGTGCAAAAACTACCGCAATAAAGATACAGAGCTGTTCCACCTCAAAGATCATCCTCATAGTTCTGCTCTGTACTCACTCATACCACTCCCTAATCATCTCTAACCCCTGACAACCACTAATCTGTTCTCTATCTTTGTAATAATATCATTTTGAGGATGTTCTATAAATGGAATTATATAGCATGTGACTTTTAGAGATTGACTTTTCCGACTCAGCAAAATTCCCCTGGGATCCATCCAAGTTGTAAGCATCAATAGTTTGAGTCCTTTTATTGCTCAGTGCTATTCCATGGCATAGTTTATTTAGTCATTCATCTATTGAGGAGTATTTTGGTTGTTTCCAATTTTTTGTTATTAAATATAAATCTTCTATGAATAATTGTGACAGATTTTTCTCTTTAAGAGGCAGGGCTCCTCTATGTTGCCCAGGCTAGCCTCAAACTTCTGGCCCCATGGGATCCTCCTACCTTTGCCTTCCAAAGCACTTGTACAGGTTTTCGTGTAAACACAGTGTTTATTTTACTGGGACAAATGTCCACAAATGTCATTGCTGGCCATGTGGTAGTCTCATGTTTAGTTCTTAAGAAATTACCAAATTGTTTTTCAAAGTGGCTATACCATTTTACACTCCTACCAGCAAGGCAAGTGTGATAGAGGTTCTCCGTATCATGGCCATCATTTAGTATTGTCACTATATTTTTGCTGTCCTCATAGGTGTAAGGTAATACTCATTGTGGTTTCAATTTGCACATCTCCAATGGCTAATGATGTTAAACATCCTTTTGTGTGCTTATTTGCCATCTGTTTGTCATAGTCAGTGAAACGTCTTTTCATGTCTTTTCCAATTTTCTAATAGATTTTATTTTTTTACTGTTGAATTCTGAAAATTCTTTATACATTCTAGATCTAAGTCCTTTGTGAGATATATATGGTTTGCAAATATGTTCTCTCAGCTTGTCTTTTCATCACCTTAAGTTCTTTCAGAGAATACTAGTTTTTAATTTTGATGAAGTCCAATTAATCTATTTTTAGATTAATTGGATCATGCTGTTGGTGTCATGCCTGAGAACTCTTCACCAAGCCCTAGGTTCTGCAGATTTTCTATATTGCCAAAAGTGTTTTACAATGAAATCTATAATCCACTTTGAGATAATTTTTTAAGATGTCATGTTTAGGTTGAGGTTAATTCTTTTGTCTATGGATACTCACTTTTTCCAGCATCATTTGTTAAAAAACTATCTTCCATCTGTTGAATTGTACTTCTGTTAAAAATCTGTTGGCCACAGTATTACTGGATTCTCTATTCTGTTCCATCAGCATTGGTGTTGATTCCTCTGCCAGTACTACAGTCTTGATTACTGTAGCTATATAAGTCTTGAAATTGTCTTCGTTTTTAGAATTGTTTTAACTATTTTAGTTTCTTTTCCTATCCCTACATATTTTACAATTTTCTTATATATAGCTACTAAAAATTTTATTGGAATTTTGGTAGGACCTATATTAAACCTTTATGTAAATTTAGGGAGAATTGATAGCTTTACTGTCCTTAATCTTCCATTCTATGAGCATGAAATGTCCATTTATTTAGATTATTTATTTATTTCATCAGGATTTTTATCATTTTTATCATACAAATCCTACATATGTTTTGTTAGATTTACACTCAAATATTTAATTTTGTTTGAGAAATAGTAAATGGTGTTATATGTTTAATTTTGGTTTTCTACATGTCTGTTGCTGCTATATAGAAATACTCTTGTATGCTGATCTTGTATCCTGTGCTCTTGCTGAAGTCATGAAATCTAGGGCTTTGTGGTTTTTATTTTGTAGAGCCTTTGGAATTGCCTAGAAAGATCATCATGTCATTGACAAATGGAAGCAGTTTTCTTTATTCCACTTCAATCTCTCTGCCATTTGTTTTCTTTTCCTGTCTT